GTCAGTAGTACTTCTTGCTGATTAATATGAACACTTTTCTTCCCGAAAACAAAACACTCTTCAGTGCTCCCACCATCTTTGCTTACAGCAGAGAATAAAGTAATTGATGTAGATATCCCTATCGTAATTTTTTTTTAACTCTTGCTAAACTCTTGTTTAACTCTAAGATTCTTTTGGTCACAAGCAACAGAAACCAACTCCAGCTATCCTAAAGAGGGGATTTTATTTGAAAGTTATAAGGGTGTCTTCTAGAAGTGAAGGATGTGTCAAGCAACTGAGACGCAGGTAGGGAGTAAACCAGGACTAACTCTGGGAATATTGGCAGGAGCGTGTGTGGACCCACAGAGCACAGCTATTAATATGACTCAGCTCCTGTGTCACCCATATGTGTGTTGAGGGTCCCCAGTGCCACCCCTTCATTTGATATTCTCCAGAAGGACTCATGGCACTCAGCATATAGTTGTACTCATGGATAAGATTTATTACAGTGATGTAATAAGTTTATACAGCTGGATCATAATGGAAAAAAGCAGAGGAAGAGTCTGGAGGAACTGTCGTGCGGGCTTCCTTGTCCTCTCTCTCCCTGGGGTGACACAGAATGCATTCTTCTTCAAGCAACGAAAACGCAGAAACGTGTGCAATGATTCTGCCCAGGGAAGCCCATTAGAGACTTGGCACCCAAGGTTTTTATTGGGAGGCGTTCATGTAGGCACCCTTTGCACATACCAAAATTCCAGACTCCCAGAAGGAAAGCGGGTGTTCAGCATAAACCACACTGTTTGCACAGTTGAGGCATAGGGGACCACTCTTACCGTTAAGGACAGGTTAGAACATTCCTGAAATCCAAGTTCCCAGATGCCAGCCAAGGGCCAACCTTGCAAGCAGTCTTCTCTAAGGATAACAGTCTCAGGTTTACTCTTTTCTCATAACATACCTCTCAATTCCAAGCCTCAAATTCTGGAAAGATTGAATCTGACTCACCTTGACTCAGATGTCTTTGGAATCCATGAATTTGTAGGGAGGCTGAATGGAGCGAAATAGACATGGCCACTGGAACCCACCCCCTGGAATGGGAGGGTGCAGTTCTCAGAAAAGAGGGACTCAAAGTGAGTGGGAAGGATCTATTGTGGGTCTTGTATTTCCACATCTGAGGGCACTGGAAAGCTTTCATGAGGATTCTGTGACTATTACAACATGCCGAATCTCAGGACTTCATTCATTCACGTAATGACAAATATTTTCTTGTTCATCTACTACGTGCTGGTCTCCTGAACCAGACGCATGCCTTCTATTTTGTAATTTTGTTTTGTATTTTCCATTTTGTTTTGAAGAAGAGTGTGTATATGTGCTGTTGTTATTTTTCCTATTCTCTCTGGCTTCTTAGGGATTTGAACACCAAATTAAATTCCTCTGAACTTTTGTAGATATCATGAGTACTAAGTTGTTTGGACAGTATTGTGCCTAACATAAAGGTATTCATTTTTCTCTTACAGAAATCTTTTGGTTTATACAGTAATGGCAAGTTATTTATGAAGAATATATGTGTTTTGGGGCCGGTCCGGTGGCATAGTGGTTAAGGTTGTGTGTTCCACTTCAGTGGCCCGGGGTTTGCAGGTTTGGATCCTGGGCGCAGACTGACGCACCGCTTGTCAGACCATGCTGTGGCGATGTCCCATATAAAGTAGAGGAAGATGGGCACAGATGTTAGCCCAGGGCCAATCTTCCTCAGCAAAAAGAGGAGGATTGGCATAGGATGTTAGCTCAGGGCTGGTCTTCCTCACACACACACACAATATATATATGTGTGTGTGTTCTATTGCTATGCCCTCATTCTTTTAAATCTTTTAATTTCATTATTTGCTACAAAAGTAATATAACTGAAGCACTTTTATCCAATGCATTTGAAACCAGAACTTGATCAGTTAATTTTTTAAAAAGTCCTTCAAGCAAGGAGTTTCATAAAGAAATGAGAGATGCTTCAAGCATTTTAACTTAAATATATTTATTTTTGTTTTTGTATGTGCAAATCTTTAAAAATTAAGAGCACTTACAAAAGCAATTTGAATGCAAAATCTCTCTAGATTTTTGTGATTTCTCCCCTAATATTTTACTTTTCCCCACAGCAACAGCCTTAGGAACAAATATAACTGATTCTTACAAGCATATGGTCAACTGGTGAGAGCAGACGTGCCGGGTGCACTGGAGAAAACTCACGAATCAAAAGATTTCAGAGTGCAGTAGACAGCAAGTCAGTGAAATGGATACAATTTAAAGAGTTCTCCTGTACATATTCACTGTGGAAAACTTAGAAAACATAATAAGCACAAAAAAAATCAGGAATTTTGACATACGATAATCACTAAGTTTTTGGTCTATTTCCTTTATATTTATGAAATATATGTATACATACATACATATACAAATATATGAAGTATATAGATACTAATATTATGCTATATATACTATATAATGAAATATATGTTATATACTATACATGTAAACACACATTTTAACAAAAAGCAAGCACTATCATGCTATATATAGTGTCTTATAGTCTTTTTTTATCTAAATACACTGACACTTTTCCATGAAGCGTTCTCCTACATTATTTTGCAATGACTGTTGGCAAATGGAGATTAGCTAGCAACGCTACAGCATGTCCCTCAGAGCACGGGGGTTTATAAGGAGTTAGAAGATTAACAATAGGGAAATGTCAGCGAGGAACGAGGAGGCAGCCCCTCCACCGCAATATTTGAGGGGTGTGGGTGTGGGCAATGAGTCTACTCCGTCTACTGGTGTCCTCTGGGGAAAGCAGATTCCAGTTAGGACAGGAGTATAAGGGATGTTTGAGGATGAGGTTAAGAATGTAGGGAGGTTTGTTAATCATGGGACAGAATGCCAGACGTCACAATGGAGAGACCTGGGAGGTAGAGAGGGAAGAGATATGGGATTGGGTCTGGTAGAAGAAATCAGACCAATGAAATGAGAATGTGAGAGAAAATACTTTGCCAGGATGGATGTCGGATGTGCCCAGAGGTGGGAGGGGAAGAATCCTCTCTCTGTGGCTCTGCCCTAGTAGTAACTGCCGTGTGTTCTTTGAGATAGTAGTGTTCTTTTGTGCCAACTCCCATGTCAGTGTTCCAGAGTATCAATAAAAGCCTGGCTAGTGAGCAGTCAGAAATTGAAGCAGTGTTCTCCGAGAGCTGACGTGGGTTCACTAAGAGAATGTTTTCAAAAAGGGCTACCAGATTGCTATGAGAATGGTGATGAAAACCCTGTGTATTTACTGTTGGGCTTATCCCACTAAAGACGTAGTTTCGTAGATGATGCTAGAAGCCGTGGAAAGTGGAGCAGATCACCCGGGGAGAAAATGGATTGAGAAGGTGGCCCTGGGCGGACCCACAGAGCACCACTGTTATAGAGATGGACCAAGAGGAGGAGCCCCCAAGAGTGACTGAGGTTGAGTAGCCAGTGAGTTCGGAGGAAAACCAGGAGCTTGCAATGCCACAGAGCCCAGGGAGGAATGTGTTTTTAAGGAGTGGCCAACAGGGACAATGCTGTAGACCTGGTCTTTCTGGATTTTAGCCACAACCATGAAGGTTTCCTGTTTCGTAGAATGGCAATTGAGAACTTCAGTAAGGTTCAAAATAGAACCCTACAGCAATTTATATGACTAACTTCCAGCCTGGAATCAGTTCATTTATGGGATTGTTTGATTAGTTTGTCAGTTTGTTACATAGCCTGGATCCTCCTAGCTGCTGTGTTAGTGCAAACACATCCCTTACATATTCAGTACATCTCCATTCTTTCGTCTAAGCCTGTGACAAGATGTACGCTTTGCATTACTCTGAATACAAACCCAAGCACATATGTGGCTCTGAAATCATTGCATAGCAATAAGTGTTCATAAAGTGGTTATTACATGTTTCAAAGTGTGCTAACAATTTTCTTTGGATTCTGAAAAATAAAAACTCAAATTTTAAAAATGTTTAGAAAATGTGTGCCTGCAATAGTAGATCTGCTTATCTTCAGGGATTTTTACTCAATTTGTGTAAGACTACCATGATGAACTGAAGGTTAACTGAGTGTAGGCGTGAAGGACTTTTTTCAAATTTTCATGTGGAAAAGGGAAGAAAAGCAGCTTTTGGCTGAATATAAAATCATCTAAGATAGAATTGGATTTATTGAAAGATAAGTACCCTTTAGGTGGAGACTGGGGAATCACTCATTTAGGGCTATATAAGGGGGATTTTTTTTTTTGCATTATGTGAGTGACAAGATCATTTCTAAGATCTTTCCCTAGCCTAAGACTTCATGAGTCTATGAAATAACCAGGTACCTGGGGTCTTTAAGAAATAAGGACAGAAATGTGACATTGATTTTGTAGTTCTACCTATCTCTATTTTTTATGTAAGATATATAGAAATATCTCAAATAATAGGAGGACTATAATTATCCATAATCTCAGCATTTTAACAGTTATTTTCAATTTGGGGTGTTCCCTTTTACTATCTATCAGCGTGCATAGTTATTTTTATAAATGTGCACTCAGTTCTATTTCCTTTTTGGTTGTTTTCAGTGACTTTAGCTATCATGAGATCAACTTAAGGAAATAAGTGTGTTTTCCTGGATTCTGGTAGTCTTTTTTTTTTTTCTCGTCCCCAAAGCCCCAGTGCATAGTTGTGTATTCCAGCTGTAAGTCCTTCTAGCTCTTCTATGTGAGCCACCAGCACAGCACGGCAGCTAACAGATGGGCGATGTGGTTCCACGACCGGGAACTGAACCTAGGCCACAGAAGCAGTGAGAGCACCAAACTTTAACCACTAGGCTATCAGGGCTGGCTCTCTGGTAGTCTATAATCCTGAAAACTACTGACAGATGCGGCGGGTAGGAGCAATGTATTAAAAATGTCTAGGGCCACCAAGTCGTCTTTGAAAAACTGATTTTGCAGTTTGTGGGCATTTCCTAAACTGTATTGTTCTATTTTTCCCCTGAATTAGTTGATCATGGCCTTGCCAGGTTGGTGACGGTATACTGTGAGCATGGTCATAAAGCTGCCAAAATCAACCCCCTCTTCACTGGACAAGCCCTGCAGGAGAATGTGCCTGAAATCCAAGCCCTCGTGCAGACCCTGCAGGGACCCTTTAACACCGCAGGTAAAGCCCATTAACCACAGACTGTCCATGTGACACTTAACCGCCAACACGAGGTGGGCTCCTTTCTCTGTTCCTGAAGAACCCAAATGCCCACTGGAGCTGAGGCCTCCATGGGGTGTGAGGAGATAATGAGGGGTACATTCAAGTCCTGTCAGGGAGGAGCAGTCTTGAGGTTCTAGAGTGGGCTTCTGATAGGGCCTGTTTCCTCTGCATTCAAAAACGTATATACAGATGGCCAGCAGATACATGAAAAGGTGCTAAACACCACTAATCATCAGGGAAGTGCAAATCAAAACCACAATGAGATACCACTTCATACCTGTTAGAATGGCTATTGTCAAAAAAACAGAAGTTACAAGTGTTGGTGAGGATGTGGAGAAAAAGGAACCCTTGTGCGCTGTTGGTGGGAATGTAAGTTGGTGCAGCCTCTGTGGAAAACAATATGGAGGTTCCCCGAAAAATTAAAAACAGAATTACCATTTGATCCAGTAATCCCACTTCTGGATATTTATCCAAAGGAAATGACATCAGGATCTAGAAGAGGTGTTTGCACTCCCATATTCATTGCAGCATTGGTCAATCAATTTCAAAGATCTAAAGTTTATTGTAAGAAACCATGGGTAATATAAAGTGAATGATGGTTTGTTAAACTCGTGTTGTAGGTTTAGGCAAATGACTGATAACTGATTGGTGCTGAGTTAATGACCTATTACAAACCTTCCTTTTTTGGACTAAGGTTCAGGGAGATTTCCTTTTACCTTAAAATGTTGCTTTGCTATCAATATTAATTCACAGGAAGACCAACTGATCAATAATAGACTTTGCTTTATAGATATTAATAAGACTTGAACATTTTGGTAGATAGATATTTCGGATAAGTAGGACATAGTATTTGTAGCTATAAAGCAGAATGAATGGTAGGTTTCAAATTTTTGTTGGAAATTACAATAGAATCAAAATTTGACATAAAGCAGCCTGGCTCTGTCCTTGTCAAGAAAGATTTATTTTTCCCTCTCCACGTTTTACTATTTCATGGCCTTTCACTATATTTTTAATTTTGCTTTTAGAAAAATCTAGATAACCACTGATGATGTCCCACTGTTATTCAGAATGAAATGCTCTGAATTGAAATAATTATTTTGGTATGTTCTATACTTAGTTACATGGTTGATTATTCTTTAAAATGATTCCCTTGATTCCATTTTGTAGGATTATTGAACATGGGGAAGGACGAGGCCTCTCTTGAGGAAATATTAGCCTATCTCAACCAAATCTACTGTGGGCAGATTTCTATCGAAACCTCCCAACTTCAGAGCCAGCAGGAGAGAGACTGGTTTGCCAAGCAGTTTGAGAAACTGAAAAAGGAGACATTTACCACAGAAGAACGAAAACATCTGTCAAAACTAATGCTAGAATCTCAGGTATAAAAGCGGCAAATATCAGTGGAATAGGTGGGCTCATTTTCTACAAAGATATGTAAACATTGAAGTGAGGGAATTAAGGCATTAACTCTCTGAACATACCCCCACTTACCCCTGTTGCCTCAACACAACAGACAATATAATACACACCACTTTTTTCTAAGTAGAAAAAAAATAGATCACCGAACAATGGAGCTATTGTTCTCCTCAGTGTCAGTACTTTTTGTGTGTTTGTCTATTTACTCTATAGAAGATTGCAAAATCCTTAAGATCTTACTTCTCTTTTTATTACCTGAGATGATCCGGAAAAAAAAAAAGATCTCTGCATGGAAGAGGCTCTCAATACAAATCAATGGACTTGACTCTCCCTCAGGGCTATGATCAGGACTCGGGCATATCAAGATGACAGGAAACCTATTCCCAATAATTCAGATAGTTGGCTAGTTTGCAGCCTTGATAAAATAGGACTGTAGAGCCCTGTACTAAAACCCAAGTCCTGGGAGAGGCAGCAGAGATCTAAGGCCCATCCTCTACTCTAGAAGAACGCACATTCTAAGGGGATTCCTCTTGGGGTAAGGTCTACCACTCAGGTTATTTTCTCTGCATTGTCTACTACTGTCTGGTGTCCTGGGCAAGGCTTTCCTGCCGTGCTCTGGATTACTTACGTCTGTGTCTGGGGCATGTGGTGAAGGGCTGCTCCAGCCACCTGGAGAGGTGTGGGCTCTTCTTACAACACGTACACGTGTCTGACTTGGACCTGACTAGCTGGCTGTCTTCCGGTCACTCATGTATCTGACATGATGTTCCACAGGAGTTTGACCACTTTTTGGCCACCAAGTTTGCCACAGTGAAGCGATATGGAGGCGAAGGAGCTGAAAGCATGATGGGCTTTTTCCATGAGTTGCTGAAACTGTCAGCCTACGGTGGGATAACCGATGTTATTATCGGGATGCCCCACAGAGGAAGGCTGAATTTATTGACAGGCCTTCTGCAGTTCCCTCCAGAGGTAAGATACTTTCTAAGTTTCTCACCAGCAGTGTACAATTGACTGTAACAGAATCAAACTGATGGTAATAATTCCTTTTATAAAACGGACTAAGCACATGAGCCATTGGTCCAGGAGATTGCTTGGTTAATTGATGAAACCTAATGCTGCTGGGTAGAACTGGTATTTAGGTGGACTTTCTGTATATCCTTTTATGAATTCTTTCTTCTCTCAGAGAAGTTAAAAGTTTGTTTCCTCGAGGATGATGTGAAAAGATGAATTCAGTTTTTTAAAGCATGCTTTTCCTATTTGATAAAAATTGTTCAAAGGAACACAAAGATCTGTGCAATTTTATATAGTTTTACCTTCCAAAAACTCAATTTTACCTTCCACTATTTGTAGAGTTTGTTGTTGATAGACTGTATAAAACTCATAATACATTTTTATCTCCAGAGACCACCCAAGTGAGTGGCTTTATAGGTAATTGGATCTTGTATTCCTGTTCAGTCCGACTCAGTTGCTCTGTAAGTCTCTCAAAAGACTCAAGAGTCAGGGCTGAATGTTTGATGTCAATGAACATCAGAGAGATTCGATACTTAATAAAATTGTGGCCATTATGCGTGGATAAACCTTACTACTCTTCTTGGCCAGGAGATTAAAAATAATTATAAATGTGGGCCGGCCCCATGGCTTAGCGGTTAAGTGCGAGCGCTCCGCTACTGGCGGCCCGGGTTTGGATCCTGGGCGTGCACCAACACACCGCTTCTCCGGCCATGCTGAGGCCGTGTCCCACATACAGCAACTAGAAGGATGTGCAGCTATGACATACAACTATCTACTGGGGCTTTGGG